GCTCCGAGCCGAGCCCGGTGGGAGCGGGGCGGTCCGGCCTTGGGCCGACTCCCGCCGCGCCGCCTCACCCGCTGCCGCCGGCTCCGCACTGCGCCTGCGCGCCGCAGGGGCCGCCGGGAGATGTAGTCCCGGGAACGGCCCCCACGGCCGCAACACGCGCGGGATGGGGCGTTCACAGAACCACGGGATCAGCGGGGCTGGACAACACCTGAGACCACGGGGTCCAACCCGTGAAACAACATCACCTTGTCAGCCAGACCATGACACCTGAGACCACGGGGTCCAACCCGTGAACCAACATCTCCTTGTCAGCCAGACCATGGCACTGACTGCCACATCCAGTCTTTTCTCAGACACCCCCAGGGACAGTGACAACTCCCTGGGCAGCCCATTCCAATGTCCAATTACTCTTTCTTTAGAATTTGTTTTAGTAAGAATTTCTTTAGAAAGAAATTTTTCCTAATGTCCAACCTAAAGCTCCCCTGGTGCAGCTTATGCCATGTCACTTGTTACCTGAGAGAAGAGCCCGACTTCCACCGAACTGCACCCTCTTATCAGGGAGCTGTGGAAAGCAAAAAGGTCATCCCTGGACTTTCCCTTCTCAGAATTAACCCCGGCTCTCTCAGCCACTCCTCATCACACTTGTGATCCGGCCTCTTCCCCAGCTCTGTTGCCCTTCTCTGGTCCCACGAGCCAGGGCTGTGAGAGGAATGTAATGCACTGCTCCCATGGCCACCTCCATCTCACACAACCACAGACCAACAAACCTCCTCTAGTCTCAATAAAGCACAGGGGAAGCAAGACTTTCTAAGCAACCTAAGGTACAGTAAAACACCACTTTGTGCAACATGTTCTGCTACAGCATTACAAAAAAAGCCAAGTGCTTCAAGCCACACTGTGAATTTTCCATACTGACTTCTGGCACAAAGAAAGAAAAATAAAGAACTAATCACAGGAATTTCCAGGCATTTCCACCTTGACATCATCAGTATTTAAAGCATAATAACTAAGAGCAATTGTTTAAAAAACACTCAAAACTCCCATGTAGGCATTTTCCTATTGTATGTTAAAATTGTATCGTTAAAATTCCTGCTCACAGGTACTTTCTGACCATTAGCAAAGGCTGGGGAGAAGCTGCAGAGCTGTCCACACACTCCACTAGCTCCACAGAGCCATCCCTCTTTAGGTAACCGAAGGGAAAACAATCTGCAGGGCCCTGATGGAACAGAGCCAAAGCCACAGCAGCTTGAGCCTGGCTGCTGTGCTTAACACCAGCCCAACACCCACCTCCCCCTTTTAGCAAAAGCCTCCAGAAGTGTTTGAACTACAAGCTTAGTCAGTTTGGTCAGTTAACTGAAATAACAGACAGATGCTCAAGTGAAGAATTCAATGTATATTTATTATTCACAGTTAATTACTATCTACCAAATGCTGCTGCAGAGTTAAAGGATTAAGTACATAGGCCTTTTTTTTTAATTAAACACGGAAAATTTTTTTAATATATATACACACACAAGACATATGTCTGCAAGGCTGCATGATATACACCAATTCCAAAATAAGGAAACAATCAAATGGTCCAGGTGTAGAATGCCATAGATTCCTTTTCCAATCACTTTACAAAGTGGGAAGAAAGTGAGTGACAGCTAGCAAGGAGAGGGGGAAAATTAATACTCTACAGGGTAGCTCTCTCTTTCATTTGCTGGAAAATCAAAATGTAAGGCAGAGTCCATCTCAGGAGTAAAACTTCTGTAACACTTACTACAAAAAAAGGCACCCTCCAACAAAAGATTGCCCATGCTGAGGCAGGGCGGGAGATCTCTCCTGCAGGTTGGGATGTGTTGGTGGGGTGAAGGGATCCAGCCAAACGGCCACCAAAGGAAAAAACACAACTGAAGATTGGCACAGAGAGCGCTGTGGGCTGATTGCTTTCCTTCTGTCCAATTTAATGTCACACTGCTCTGGTGAGGAGCAAAGGGCCACCAGAAACCCCCCGGGGGTGCAGGGTGGGGAGAACAGTCACACACAGCCTGCTGTGAACGGGAGCGGGTGGGGAGCTACTTCAACAGGAACACTGACCTGAGGAGGGAGGAGAGACTGGAGAACAGGGAAGCCAACTCCACTTCTCAAGAGCAACACGACTGCAAATACTGCCTATCCAGGCCGAGGAGACAGGCTGATCACATGCATCACGTAGAAACATTCACTAAGAGCATAAAGTTTTCCCTCATCATAACTTTCCCCTTTCTCTTACTTCTTTTGAGGCTCCTGGTTGCAGCTCTCCAACTCTGAGCAGCCTAAGTTGCCACTTGAATGCCTTGATTTTATTTTCCTTGGAGTAAGGGAAGTTGAACGGTAAGACAAATCTGAAGATTAAAGCTCCATCTCTGTAGATTTTTCTCAAGTGTCCATTGATAAAACCACCCTCCTTTGCCCCCTTCCCCCAAAGTATTTATTTACACATAGGCAGAAAAAAACCTCTCTGAAAAGCTCTGGACTGTCCTTTTAACTTAAAAAATAATAAAAAAAGAAAATAAGGGGAAGGCACTATGGAAAAAATTACAGAATGTGCTCAACCGTACACCTTTAAGAAAAAACAAATAAGCTGTCAGCACAGCATTAATAGACTTCAGTTGTACGTTGGAGTTTCTCAAAGCAGCTCTGTGACTCCAAAGTAAAAAATAGAACAAAAAGCCACACAACTCTTCTCCCTTCCTCTGTTTGGAAGCTGCTGAGCTTCAGAAGAAAGTGCCAAAGGAGAAGAGACAATAAAAATTAGATTAACACCTCATCTTTCCCAGGCAAGAAATGCTGAATGTTGAAGGCAAAAGCAGAAACTGATGATTTTTGTTTTTTTTAAAGGCAGGACTGTGGATTTGGTTCTTCTCTCATGTCCCTTCATGTCAAATGAAGACCGTTTGCGGAGAGAGAAAATACCAGCAGAGTTTCTCCCTTTTCCTTTAACTGCATGGCTAGGACTTTATATGGCATTAAAACTTCATGCACTGATGGACAGAGGAGGAGGGGAAAACAAGAAGAGTTGTGGTGGTGAGACCTTAAGTGACCTTAAAACACTCATTCGCAACAAGAGTGAATAAAAGGGGATAACCCAAGAGCAGCTGAGGAAATTTGTTATTTTCTTTTTTTTTTTTTCTCTCTCTCTCTCCTTTTTTTATTTTCCTTTTTTTTTTTTCCTTTAAGTTAAGTTTTGGTGTGTAAGTTGAACTCTTCCCCCCCGCCCCTGAAGTTCCATACTGAGGGAAGGAGGATCACCTCACGGTGAAAGGTGACTCCGGTTTTACCGCCGTGTGATTTTTAGGTCACTGGCTGCAGTTAGGCTCTGTATGTGTATTTACTGTTTCTCTGGTTTCCTTAAATAATCTCTAATATTTATCTCTAGATGTTCCGATTCACTGGGGTCACGTAGTTGCGTGGGAACATGCCCGTCTGTCCGCGGCACGCTCCCTTCCACCAGTTGGGGTCAGAATTGTCAAGGACTTGGATAAAGTCTCCGCGATGGAAGCCCAGCTCTCCTTCCTCTTGGGGATCAAAATCAAACAGGGCCTGAACATATGTTGGTTGCTGAAAGGGGAAGGAGAAACAGAGAGACAATGAGAATCACCCACAGCACTCCAGACACCTGCTCCCGTGGGCAGGAGCTGTCTTACACCACAGATTAACAATAAACATTTGGGCTGTTCCCTTTCCCTGCAAGCCAGCTCCCAGCAGCTCCAACAAGGTGCTAAAACAACAGGACAGGCCATAGAACACCTCAGAGAAATGCCAAGTTTCTGTGAAAGAGCTGAAATAGAGCAGATGATTCTGATGCTTTTCTAGTATTTTTCACGCTTTGTGGCCTATTGTAAATCTGTGATTGTAATACAATAATATTGCTGTTTACTTGTCCTGTTTTTATACTTGACAGCAGAAATATTATTGATCTACACAAAGCTACCCTTAAAAACTGGATGCTGACATTATATTTTCCTTAACTCTTCTGTCACAGAACATTTTGCCTGGAAGCAAGTCTTCCTTTCTGATGGAAAAGCTAACAGTTCATTTAAAATACATTTGCAGTCTTAAAATCATGAGGGCAGGATGTCTCTTCATGCTTGTCCTTTTCAGCCAGCTGTTTTCTCACCCTCTGTTTATCCCTGACCTGGCAGTGCAGAGCCAAGCGTTAAATTCAGACAAACTGTGACAAAGTTGCCTGTGGCACCTGGACAGCTGCACAAACTCCACACCCCTTGTCTTCAGGCTAGAACCACAGTACTGTACAAGAAAGCAAAAGGATTTACCCAGAACTGATAAAACATGTAGTTACATGAAATATGACACTCTGATTGACCTGAGAAATGGAACAAAATAAGAAGTTGGATATACACAAGATGCTCTGCTGGCACTTCACGACAGTTTTTGGATTCTCTTCACACTGGCTAGATCCAAACCAGAGATGCTCCATATGCTGTAAACACCTCTTCAGGAAAGCCCAGAATCACAGTCTCACTGAGGGATGCACTTCTGGCTATGACCAGGTATAAATCAGAACAGAATCACAGAATTGTTTAGGTTGAAGACGACCTTCTAAAGATCACCAAGTCCAACCATTAATCCAGCACTTCCCTATCCTTTCTTACTGTGCCCTATAACAGGAGCAAATCCATTTTTAATTCACAGGAATCAGATGATCTTCCTGCAACAGAATCCATAAACATTACAACAAGTCAAACATTCAAGCAGCAACAATAATTTTGCCTCAACTCCAGGGAGACCAGGAATGCAGGTAGGCTTTGCACAAGAATGCAGCTTATTCTGTAAAATTCTGACTGCAGGATCTAAGGATACACTTCCACAGGTAAAAAAAAAATCAGTAAGCTTCTTTCTTACTCTAAAATGCAATCCCACTTCATACTGTGGTTGTAATAGCATGAACAGGGCACTCTACAGGGACTCTGCTCTTACCTGTGGCACCTGCTCAATGTCCCGGAGAAATATTTGCTGGTTCCTTGAGACAGATGTGGATCTGTGATAATCTACCAGCTCGTTCAAAGAATTGAACTTCACCACCCAAAGGAAATACTTGCCAGCCCCATCTCTAAGCACCTTGAAGTGCTGCACATCATTTCCAAACCTGTGTGGAAAGAATGAAGAACATAAACATTATTATCGCATTATTAACCACAGAGAACTCTTTTTGGGATCATCAGCACAAAGATTGGAACAAAAAGGTCTTCAGTGTACAGTGAAAACTGTCAATGACATTGATAACATAGATGCAGTACCACAGCTGGCATCACAAGTAGTTCTTGATATATGCTACATATGCTGTCACCTGTGTTGCTGAAGGTGGTGCAGAATCCCAAGGACAAATTCTGGGGACTTTGCAAGGTCATAGTAAATAGCTGCACCCTGGTGCTTTCCACTTTACATCCCCAAACACAGTCAAACTGCCAGTCAAACAGCACAAACACTTTGGTTTAGCTCTTCACACACAGCAGTTTCACAGCTGACTTGAGCCACTCTCAGTCTGTGCTACTCTTGCCATGGTCCTCTGGCTCTCACAGCCCCAGTCCCTCCCTCCCACAGCACCACTGGGTATGTGCAACAATGCAATACATAAGCATCAGTCCCATTACAGGCAAATTCCTGGGAAAACACTGCCACAGGGTGGGTAGGATTGGCTCTTTTGGCAACCACCATGGACTTGTGCAAAGGACTCTCTTATGAAACAAAGACTTCTCTGGTCTTAAAAAAAAAGCCCAAAACAAAATATAACAGAAAAAAAATCCCCTCAAACCCCAAAATGTGCAATGATGATGCTGCACACATAAAGCAGCCACTTCAATTCCATGTTAACAATTTTTTCAGACAAATGATGGCATTCAATCGAAGCTACATTTGCAATGGTTTTACTCTGCATAAAGAGGAACTCTGGAGAGGTCCACTGGGATTTTCCAGATTAACAGCACATTGCTATTTTTACTTCAGCCTAAAACACTGAGAATGGAAAACAGCTGATCCCCCTTGGCATGCATGGCGCCTATACATCATTGAGGAAAGCAGACACTGCCTTGAAAAAACTCTGGGGTGCTGCCTCTGCTCTGCCTTCCTCAACCTCTGAGCTTCTCACCATTTCAAATCCTACAGATTACTGTTTAGGAAAAGGACTTTCCTAAACTATACACACAGGAAAAACCACCCAAGACATTACCACCAGATGGCAACACCAGGCTGAACAGGCAGGCTCAGCTATGCCATTGTAACTTCCTGTTTCTTAAAGGAATGCACTTTCTGCAATTGAAGCTTCCATTCATATCTAATATTCCAACCCAGATGACTCTATCCAAGACAGAAATATAAACATCTCTAAAATCAGTGGCTTTAATCAGTTTGCTGGCATGACTCAGTGCTGCTGTACAGAAGGACAAAAATTTGGTTACAAACCAAAGATGACCAGAAAAAAAGAAACAAGTCTTGTTGAGACAGATCACTGACAGCCACAGAAAACAGAGCCAGCTGGAAATGTGCATGAATAATAAAAAATGTTGTAAGGATTCTAAAGAAAATCTTGTTTATTTATGGTAGAAAAGGGGAAGATTACAGAAAATAATTAAAAAACAAAAAAGCCAAAATCAACTGAGGACAGATTCATTCCCACCCCCATCCTACATTAAATTACTTCACATACCTTTTCAAGTTTCTAAAACCTGTATTTGAGTGACTTCAGATCAGAGAATCACAGAATTGCTTGTGTTGGGAATCACCTAAGGATCACCTCCTCATTCCAATTCTCTTCCTATGGATAGGGATACCTTCCAATAGACCAGGTTGCTCCAAGCCCTGTCCAATCTGGCATTTAATATTTCCAGGGATAGGGCAGGCACAGCTGCTTTGGGCAACCTGTGCCAGGACCTCCCCACCATCATAGAGAAGAATTTCTTCCTAACCCTTGTGGAATATACTTGTAAGAGTTCAAAAGGACCTCCATGTTTCACAGCATCATGTCCCACTGCTAGTCAGTGGGAATATCACCAAAGCATGTGCTAAGCAGAGAAAAACATACTTGCAAATGTACTACACAGAAAGACAAAGTAATAACTTGCACTGCAGAGGAGGAATGAAGGAGGATGGGAGGTTGTCCACAATGGGTGCTTTGTGGCTGTAAGATGGAGGAGTGGGATCCACAGAGAAGCCACTAGACAGTGCCTGGGCCTGTGTGAGCCACGTGCCACCAGGTCAGTCCTGTGGGCTCACTGCAAACCAAAGCAAAAATGTTTGCTCTATTAGAGAGGGAAAAAATATCACTAGAAGAACAGGAATGCTATAGGGCATCTGTGAGATTATTCCTGCTCCTCAGCATTGACAAGCACCTGCCCTTGACTCAGCAGTCCAAAGGAGCAGCCGATGGCTGATTAACACACAATTGCTCCTGGGCATGACTTACTTGACTGAGAGGGAGAAGTCCCCGGGAGCACTCTCACTCTCTCTGATGAGGAAGGCACCATCGTGTCTCTGTTTGCCCAACATTTCTTCAGCCTTCGCTCGGGGAATCTTTCCAAAAAACCACCTGTGTGGGGAGGAAAAGAAAACAATAGGAAAAGTTGCAAATTTTAATCCATTCATGGAAGAGCCCGAAACAACACTCTGGAAACAAGATCTCATCTATGCACTGCCCCATCCTGCACTTGTGTAAAGTGCATTTTGTATCTAAATCAATTTCTTGTCTCTTTCAGATCAGGTGGTAAGACACATCTACTTCACTAGAGAGAATTAATATCTTCATCCAGCAGCTGTTTGCTCCTGCAGCCCAGAGTACAGTCTGTGAGCCGTACCTGAGTCCTACGGTCCAAGACAAGTATCATCTGTCAGAAAGATGAGGCAGGTGCCAGGACTGCAGTTACACACAGACCCAGTGAGAAAAGCTCCCTCAAGGTCTCTCTGCTCCACTGCAGAGGAGTGCTGAGCTAGGCATGGACTCCGTTCCAGAAAAGATGCTGATGACACTTGTTTCAGGAGCCTCTTTTCTTGCTCTCTCCCACAGACAGGACAATCCAGCAGCTTTCATAGGAGGAGTCACATGAAGTAGCTGCCTCATGCAAACCACATCCAAAATTCCCACCAGCCACAAGCTGACCAAGATATCAAGGCTGAACCTACCTCAGGCCACTGTATCATCAGCACCGACCAACAGCCTGGTCATGGGACCCTTGCCCCCATTTACATTTGCACTTCCAGACTAATCCAAGATTAAAGGCAAAGAAGGGATGACTGGTAGGTCACATGGCATGAGAAAAGCAGAAGCATCGTCACAACAAAAAAGCAGAGCTTTCAGTTCTGAGGAACAGATCACACTGGACAGCAGCACTTACCACACCCACACCCACAAAGATGACTGACCTTCGAGGAGAGCATTTCATAACAAGAGCTCCACTCACACAGCCCACTGCCTGCAGTGAAGGCTTTGCTGCAGCAACAAGGCAGGAGTTGCAGAATCCTTCCTGAAACAGTCATTCTTAAGAGAAGCTGGAGATCTTGTGACGTCAAAAAGTCACCAGATCTCTCTCTCTAAGGGGACACTACCTCTAGAGCTGAAGGAGGACTGATTACTTGGTTACCAAACACACTTTACTTGCTTGAAACTATTGTTGTGTACTTTTTATCCCCTGGGATGACAATGAAAAGCTTCCTCCCTCAACCATCCTATTTCCAGTGATCAAAAATTTCATGGCATTTTGTACATTCTGGGTGATTTAGCACCTGTGCTGCTTCTTGGTACCTGAGGTGAGGTGGTGTCAGACTACCTGCCCCTCACTGCACTCTGCTGCCCACAAAAATCAACTAAGAGAAACTATTAAGTGAAACTCCTTCAGAATTCAAAGGTAGTATTTAATTTCCTGGGCTTTTAGCACTACTGTCAGAAAGACAAGGAAGTCTTGAATTTTCTCTCTGCCAAATGCTGCTTAAAGCAAGCTTTATATTATGATTTTAGATATTTCACCATACTTATTGTTTATGAAGTGCCTTAATTCTGTTTAGTTCTCAAATAATTCTCAGTTACTCATGCAACAAAGTCTCATCTTAAATACAAACAAAAAACAACTTTACCTTTCTCTGTAAACTAAGAGGGAAAGCCTGAAAGAGCTTAAAAGAATCCTTTCCGAAGCCTCAACAGTTTACCTGTTTTCCCCCTAAATTTTACTGAATCACTACAAAGTAGAAATGTACTATTCTTTTAAAAGAAATAACACTTCCAAAGTGACAGTGTCAAACTACTCAGGTTTTCTGTTTTGAGCTTCCTGGCAGTTTTATAGCTTTACTGCCACATTAGCCAGAGTAAAAGAACTTCAATTAAACGAAAAGAAAACCCCAAAGATGAAACAATGTTACTTTGCAGGACTGCCGTCTCCTTAAGAACACAGGTGAAAAAAGCAGCAGAAGTGTTGTGCACATACATATTTTTGCTACAGAATGTCCGAAAAAATTAACAGACATCGCAGCATGTCAAAAACCACTTATGGAGAATTAGACAAAGTGACAACTACATTCCCACAACTTTTCTTCTGAACGGCAAAGCCTGATAAATCTTGACTCCAACGAGCTCTGTAATGCAGGTAAAACTCATCCTGTCAGCAGTGCAGAACCAAATGCAGGCATTCCTGCTGATGCTGCACAGACAGAGTGAGCTGCACTGATTGTACAGCAGAGGTTCTCATCGCTTCCAGCCTCCCCTCAATCGGCACTTTGGCAATTCCTTCGGCTTCACTTCACACAATCATTTCACTTGGCCAAGTTCCTCCACAGAAATTACAATACTGCAAAGTGAGATTTCAGCAATATCCCCAGGAGAAGCTGAGAACAAACACAAAGACCTGAAATACCCTGGATCAGATCCATGGTGTGTTTCATAAACAGCAAAATCTTGTCCTGCCCCCTTCAAGAGCAAGGTGTTGCTGTACCTCCACAGTAACCTCCCTGCCCAGAGCTTCCTGTAGGTCTTCTCTGTCCTGTCTAGTTCTGTCCAGTCTTTGCTCTGTTAATTGGGGTAGCAATTCAGATTAACCCTTCAGGTTAATCCCCAGGTGAGTCTGGTCACTGCGAGGTGCTACATTTTCCTTTCAGCTTCATTTGCTGGTAGTTATAAAGCGATCTATACGATTTGCAAAATACAAGTAAGGAGAAACACTGCATTTAATACCAGCTGCGCAGTTGGAAGATTTAAGTCTTGGATCCCAGGACAGGATTTAAAGCCATATTCAGCTGCTTTCCTTCCAAAACCTCTTGAAAACAATTTGATGATAGTCTGAGTAAAGGAACATTCTTTTTCTCACTGCTCAGCTGCCTGCAGTTTGCTTTTTGTATGACCTGTATGACTAGAGAGCTCTGCACTACAGCTAAGCCAACATTATGCTATAAAAACTTTTGCATAATTTCCCAGGGTTGTTAAAATGCAGTAGTTAAGACTCCCAGCACTGCTGACACATGGCACTGCCTCCATCCAGATGCCATCAGCAGTTTAAAACATTTTCAGATAAGATCAAATCAACTATGCTTAAAAACCAATACCAAATTCACCCACTTGCAAGCTCAAATGTTGTTCATTCCCTTTTGATATAAAATGTGAAAAACTGACAGCTCTGTTCCTCTAAAACAAAATACCATGGAGGATCACAGAATAAACTGATCATCATAGGAGACATCACTGCAGGATAACTCAAATGCCTGGAAAATTGTAATGAGAAAGTACAAGCACCAAATCAATGTGAGAGAAATTGCAATGTGGATTTGTGATCCCCAGTGGACTGGTACAGTCAAGGTAAACCAGGCATGTTACTACAGAAAACAAGGCTTTAAAAAATTACAGAATTTTCTCTGTGTCCTTGCTTCACTTCCCACTTGGCTGCCCTTAAGTATGACACCTCTTCTTCCTTCTTGGGGCCAAGCCCTCAGAAGCTTCCTTCTGCTATTTCAAAAAGGCCCTTAGAAAAATAATTCTTGATTGCATTTAACTGCAATATCTTCATTATATAATGACAGTCACCACTTACATAAATCATCAGTTTTTGTGAGCAAATGAAATGCTACAGCTCCTTGTAAAACCCGTGATTACACGTTTTGCTTCTCCCTCATAAACCTTCCTTTGAATCTGTTACCCAGAGCTTGCTGTTTTTGTTCAGATGTTGCAGGATCTCAAAGGTAGGCAGAACCAAAGTTTAGCAAAAGACAGCAGAAACACATGAACTGACACAAAGAAAATACCCAGTCATGAAATACTACAGTTTTCATATGCTGGGTTCATTACACCTAGTGGGGAAGGTTCAAAGTAGTTACTCAGCTCTCTGGAGCCGCAGTTCAAGCCAACAATGCTTGTGTAACAGCACTTTGAGGTCAGCCTGTTTTGTGAGGAAGGTGTTGAACCAGATGACTATTACAGGTCCTGTCCAACCTTAACAACTATGATTTTATGCTCAGGGTGTGACAGACATACTACAAGTTCAGCTCCAAATACGCTTCATCTTTTGCAGAGCAAAATGCCATGATTTTTACTCTTAGCTGCTCAGTACATAAAATTGAGAATCATCACAAGATCACAGACACTTTTCCTGGGGCAGTGCTAGTGACAACAGTTTACTAAAGGGTTTTCTGCTGTTTTATGGCTGCTAACTCCAAGGTTGCTATGTTTGACCCTAAGAAACACCAGAGTAAGTACCAGAAAGGCCTCCTAAAACACCCTGCTATGCTGCTACTGTGAAAAGAGCTAAAGAAAACACTACAGAGATACACAACTCACAAGCTATCCTTTATCTGTCCACACATTGAGTGGAACTGGTAAACTGGTAAAATTTTAGCAGAAAATCATCCTTCTGTTTGTGAGCATGCCAAGAGTAAGAGCAAGGGAGCCTGTCCCAAAAGCTCTACTTACGGATGGGGTTTCATTTCTATGTAGTTCTTGGGAATGAAGCCATCTTTTCCATTGAGTTCTGCCTTGTACCAATTCTGATCGCATTCTTCATTCAAAACCTGAAGGAAGAAAGCAAATAAAAATTAAGCTTGAGATACATTCAAGATACAAACAACATTGATGGAGGTACCAGGTTATTCTTCCCATTTGTGTTGAGCAGTTTTTATATTAATAAAGTTAAACACATTCAAACAACAAATGTAGATCAACAAAGTTCCTTATTTTTATTTTTTAAGGGGATACTTTTCTTGCTGTAATTTTAAACATGAATGAAAGATCAGGAGTCACAAGAGAGGAGCCACATGAAAAGGTAGTTTTAAAAAGCACAAATTGATATTTCAAAGCATACTTGCTCTAAAAACTTCAATGCTTTATTTTTCATTGACTTTCTGTCAAATGGTGTGGTGCAATAGGCAAGCCTGGTGCATTGACTGAAAGAGGTCCCTCCAGTATTGTATTATGTTCTGTAAGTAAAACCATGCTATTGTCTGAAACTACCTATCCTCAAGATGATTTTGTGTTGGTAGTAAACACCTCAGAGAACCTGCCCCCTTTCCCTTTAAGATTAAACATCACAACACCACTTTTCCTCAAGCACTTTCATTTCTTCTCAGCTTTCTCAGGAGGATCCAACAAAAAGCTAGATCTGAGGTAAAAAAATAAAAAAGCCTCAAGTCACAAAAGTATCATATGATTAGCCTGAATGCAGGAAGACGAGGAAATGCAAAGAAAAGGAACATGAATGCAGATCCAGAGATCACATACTACACACACATAGTTATGGTGAAGATATCCACCAAAGCCCCAAACTAACTCTTTTGCTATATAATTATGTTTCTTTATTTCAAGGGTGGTGAGAGGAAATTAAAGAAAAAAAAGGAAAGAGAAAGTAAAAGCAGACAAGAATTTGCAAGTGCATGTCTTATGCAGAAAATTATACTCTAAAGATCGGTGCTTGCTGCCTTTCAAAAATATGACACACCAACACCCTAAATCTGCCTCACTGCTGACTGCTATGTATGACAGAAAAAACTTCAGAACCTACTGAAATGAAATGTGGCAAAGAAAAGAGAGCAAAATGTGAGCCTCCTCAGTGAATTACAGTGAATAATAGTTACCTGGATGTTCCTTAACTCCCAAGGGAAGAGGCTGATGGGGATGTACCTTCCCCAGGTGCCAGCACTTCCACTGGGGAACTAGCACAGCAGCAGGGTGACATCTACAGAACTTAGGTGAGCAAAGATATCCATCCTTAGGCCCATTTCAGGATATTTTCAGCTGAAGAGGCTTTAACACTTAAAAAGATCCCAAGTACTAACTTACACATAGATGAAACATTCAAGCTGTCTTTTGTGCAGTTACTACTTTGGGCTTCCATGCATTTATTTACAAGCACTGCTGCAGCATGCACAGCAGAGCTCATTTAGCTGGGGTAATCTGAGCACAGGTCATGAGCAGTTCAAGCGTGGCACTGTGACAGGCTCTGAGGTAAGAGCTCACACGTGGAGAGCTGCCCTGGATCAGCTGATGTCTGCTGGACTGCCTTGGAGCTGTGGGACAGCACCTGGGCAGGGACTGATTCCTCCTCAACACAAAATACAGTGAGAGACACCAGCAGCAGCTCTGGGATATTGAACAGGGATGACAGAGATCAAAAACAGGTGTGTAAAAAAAGTGAATCGTGCAGAGACCAGGGAAGGCATGAAGCCCAGATCTGTAACTCAGTCATGTAAAGATTTCAGCACACAGCTTCCAAGAATCAGTAATTTGGGGCTGTTCTGTAATTTAAGCTGCCCTCACTGGTGTCCTGCACAACAGAACACAACTCAAACATAATATATCTTAATATGATTCCAATCTTGCAGAATGGTGTGCATTCCTTTATCAGAGATATCCCCCAGGAGCTTTGGTAAGCTCATGTGCTAGTGACTTGTTTCATCACCATCAGAGAGAGTTAAGGGATCTGACAGTCTGTTCTTTTCCCAAAAAGAATGGGTAAAATTGTAGTTTCACCTGAAAGACACTGCCACAGTTTTGGGGGTTTGGCATTAGGTATTAAAAAATTATAAGAAATTCTAATGTCTAAATGTAAATTATTTTAGTGAGTGTTATCTTGCTCTAAAGATATGCTAATAGATTTGGAGAAGCCAAATCACATCGGGCTTTGGGTACTCATTAATGCCTGGCCTGAAGCCAAATGCCAGCAGGGAGCAGTGCTGAAGGATGCATTAAAGCTTTGTGACCAGAGTAAAAAATAGCTGATTAAAGGCAGGGCAACCTAACTGCCTACATATCTGCATGTCCAACCTGTTCAGGGGACTTCTGCTGTAGTGATGAGGCCTTCATAGCAACCCCTCAGCGGCTTTGTTTGCTCCCAAGACCTTTTCCTACCTCCCAGCCAGGCTGACGTTATCTTCGCAGCCCGTTGTCCTTTCTAGGATCATTTTAACGAGCTGTCACAGCTCCATTCACACCCTGGCAGGCAGCCAAGGATCCATGCCCTGTGTTATGGATCGGAGAGCTCATACACACACACACTCACCCTGTAAACACCCCTTTCTGGGTTCCCTTTCTGGCTCTTCCAGAGAGAACAGAACACACTGTTTTCTTTCCAAAGCTCCATGTTCCTGTATCATTTCAGCAGGAGTCATCTCCACAACACAGATCTACAAAACCATTTCTTCTGACAGTGTCAGACACCCCTGGAGCTGCTCCCAATGCTTAGCCAAGCAAAACTGACTTATAGTGAAGTACATTAAACTTTGCAGTCACAACCACAAGGCTGGAATTCTGGTAGTTCCTATGAAGTTATGGAACTATTATTATAAAAACTGCAGAATAGTCCTGTAAAATTTCAGCTTTCAAAAAAAGAAAATTATGCCACTAACATCCATTAGTGAAATGTAACTAAAGTAAGTCAGGAACACACGTAGGAATCTTGTGCATTGATGCATCTGCCTTTGATGTTTACATCTGACACTGCTCTCTTATTTTAAATCATAAATCCATTGAAATGAAAGAACTGACTTTAAGCAATTAAACCATTTTACTGCAAAATGTTTCAGGAAAAGAACTCTGTAAATCTACCTATTCTATACCTCCAAGCAACTTCCAGATAACAAATCATATTAAAATTTATCATCTGGATATTAAAACACAGTGCTATGTCTCTAAGAAAAATATTAATTCTTAACTGAACTACAGTAAAATTTCCCTGAACTTACCAAAGCTACAAAATTTAATCTAAGTACCACATGCGTAATTGGATTTTGCTTTGAATAATTCGCCAAGTACAAAATGAAAACACAGATAAATTAATAACAAAATGAAACTTTAAAGATTCACTGCTCCAAACTGGACATCCTTCAAGGTCTGCAAAAAATCTGAAACACTTTTTTTATCTCAATTGTTTAAAACTGCTGCTCTCTGTGTAGGTCAAAACCTAAAGAGTTCCTCTGCTTCCAATCCCATGGCTGCTATACATTCAGTCAGGTTTATGACAGAGTTTCACACTGGGGCATCTGTGCCTGTAAGGAGGAAGGATATTTTTATCCCCTCCATTTGAAGCCATGCTGTCATGTGATGTCCTCAGCCCGCAGTCAGCCCTGTTTTACAGTAACAGTGGCTCAACTGCGCCCAGCAGTTTCCCAGTTTGATAACAGCTCTTATCAACAAAAGCCCATCTGTTCCCATGGAAATGGAGAAGAGGCACCGCAGAACTTGTGTGGTGAGACAGTTCCCAAGTTTCAGCTAGAACAGTTCACACACAGCAACCATCCCCAGCCATGTTCAATTCCATACCTAATGAGTATTTCCAAGCACACCCTTGGGAACTGTACACCAGTCTCAACCCTCTCAAAACCAAACTGCTTTCAGGAACACACAGGCACTAAACTGGAAGATAAGCAGATCTGGCTCAGCTCTCAAGCTGACACCCATATGCAAACATGAAACTAAACATAATGCCTCAAATGTTATGTGGTGTGAATTTAGCTAAATTAATCAGCATGTTTCCGTTTTGGAGAGACAAACCCCAAAAAATGTATTCAGAGAGGCCTCTGAGTTTTGGCTGAAGCTCCTCTTTCCCCTGAACTCCAAGGTTTTGGGACTCCTGCTGCAATAAATAAAAAGGAAAACGTAACACAACTGCTGCAGTAGAGCTATTGCCAATGTAGTTTTTATCCTCCACAAAGTCACAATGACAATGCCACAAAGAAAACAATGCAGTATATTAAAAATATTCCCAAAGTGTGAAGAATCCAAGGAAAGCACTCATGACACTCAAACTAGGGCAGGAATTAAAATTTATTAAGTGAACAAATGTTTCAAATGGAGCAACTCTGCAACTGAATTTCTAAGCCTGGAAATTACTTGTCCCAGGATGGACAAGGCCCTTGGGCGCAGAGTTCTCACCCTCAGAGAGGGTATTAAAGAAGAGGTGTTTTAACACTGCTTTTTATTTCAGGGAAAAATGGCTCCTTTTCTGCTCTGACAGTTACAAACTAGATATAAACCAGCAAGTAAAAACTGCTTCAAGGAAAACTGTCTGGATTCAACAAAACAAGTTCACTACAGCTGAACGTAAAACATTTTTGTTCTCTGCAAATTTACTGCAAACGGCACCACAGGATATTCAAATTCATCTCTTCAAGGTTTTGCAAAGACAACCCAATACATGGCCTGGTCACCTGCAGCTCCTGTTTCATCTTTGTGTTGAGCAAATGAATGCTCCTGCCTCTGGCTGTGTGTCACCAAGGTGGCAGTGAGGCAGGAATGGTGTATTAAGGAAACCTGGGGAAATGCACCCATCAAAATGACACTGTGACTCAGACCAGGCCAAATTAAGTTTTTGTTTTCTTGATTTACTCATCACACACTCTACAGTTAATTTTAACCAAAAACTTCCAATACAAAAGGATACACTGGACAATTAGGGCAACTCAAGAACACTGCTGAAATATTTTAGGCTTTTTCTTAAATACAATTTATCATGATAACACATAGGAAATGCAAAATATCCACATTTTTCAGAACAAAGCCTACAGTACCACGTTTGGAC